TCTTTTGTTTTTTTTTTTTGGTTACAGTTTGTTGTACTTAGATGGACCCAAACCATACACAGATTTAAGGCTTCATGAGTAAAGCGCTATCTAAATTCTAAAGAATGTGGTCTATATTTGTTCAGATTAATTTTATGGCTTGAGAAGATTTACTTGACTCAAATCCGAATTAATTAGAATAATAAATTTATTATACCTAAACAAAGGCAACGCAAGCCTCAGCTAGCTATCATTGCATTTCATTTTGATTGGGGATCTCAAACATTGCTGACTTGATCATCTTGATTTTTGTACCAACAAAACATCTATCAAGGAAACAAATTTTTAAATTTCAACATATTACTCAATGAAATTCGTACAAAAAGTAAATGGCATGCTCATGAGGCTCAAAACACCCTACGGGAATAGGCAAGAAATTTCGAGGGGTTTTAGATGCATGTCAATCTGTCAACTACCATGCACGTACTACTATACTAATTTGTGGAGAAAACTATAACCATTTGGCCTATTCATCCCCATTTTCTCTTCGTTCATAGCATATCTAGTGCTAATAGTTTTAGTTTCAATACTATTCCATTATAATTGTTCACTAAAGTGCCGACAACTGTCACTTATTTGGTCATGTTCACTTCCAAGAAGGCTCATCTCTTGGAGTAATTTCTAACTTATTATCCCTCCAAAAAAAAAAAAAAAAAATCAAACACAAACAGGGTTAGCTACTTTGTCCTTCTTGTCACACTCCATCATAGTAGTAAATTTCTTAGCCCCTTCCCCATCTAAACTCCACTTTTATAACTTAGGTAGAGAAAGATAGGAAAAAAAAAAAAAAAGGAAAAGGGAGGGGGTGGAGCAAATCCATCACCCCATTAATTCTCTTTCAAAGTTGAAAATGGTACAAATGTTGCGTATCTTTCTTAGTGCCAAGAAACAAATTTGCTTCTTAGTAAATGCTTAGTCAATCAGTGAAGACAATGCCAAAACAAAACCAAGAAAATGGGCTCTACAAATTGACTAATATTTGATCCCAAAACAAAAACAATTGCAGCATCATCATCAGCCATGAGAGCTGCTTATCAATAAATAGCCAAGGTAATTGAAGAAACGTGTACCTAATCTAATGCTCGGTAATTATAAACCTACCTATACCTTCATTATTGAATGACTGCATTATCATCTGATCAATTTTTGTGTATATCCCAAACTTGTCTTGTCGTGTTATTATGCATCTTTAGTTTATTGCACAAACCAACGGTATTGATTTTTCATTGATGAGACATAATTAATTTGTGCAAATTGAGATATAGTAACTCTTGAGAAAATTATTCCATGCTACAGTTTGGAATAATATGGAGTAATTTTCTCCCATGACAAGGCATAATGTTGAGACTTGAGCGAATAGTGCAGTAAATTACGTTATTTGGATTTTAATCCCTCGATGTATTTAATAATAGGAGGGTCATTGATTTTCATTCTATTGTACATGCAACTAAGCCGCCAACAGTTGAAAATGTTAATGGAAGGCATTGTCTTTGAAGATTGAAAATATGAACTTCTTGAACATTATAAACAACGTTTAAAACCAAAATTCTTGTACTAATAAAAATAATGTTAAGTTTTGTTTAGCCAAAAAAAATGGTGTTAACAGTTTTAATTATCTTTAGAGTTGTATTTTACCTCCTCAGTTAGGCCGACCAACCCCAAAATGTTCCCTCTTGGAGGGCTATTAGCATAATCAATTAGGAAGTTTGACTTGCAAATTTGATAAACAATTTTTTAGCTTATCGAATCCGGATTAGAAGCCCCCATGCCTCCATACGAGAAATGCTTAATAAAATATTTAGTTGCCTTGTAGTTGTACTTTATAAGCTGCCTAACAATTTTTCAGTATTTTGTATCAACCAAAATAAGTTTGGAAATGTTAATTAAGAATTGTGTAAAGTGTAAACATGTTAAACGGACATGGTCGCTCGAATTCGTATCTAAGAACAAGGGGAGTGGTTGATCAGTAAACAAAAAAAGATGAAATTTTGGACAAAAACATGATGATAATGCACATTTGGTGGAAGTGTTTAACGTTACTAATTAACCATTTAAAACATCAAATCATGGAAGTTGCTGGACTGAACTTTGATCCCTTTTAAGGAAAGGTAGATTTTGATTAGTTGAAATGTATTATATTACTTAAATCACAACAATTTGGCAATTCTTTTAATTAATGGACATGAGCTTTTAATTAAAGAAGAAGACCACCAAGATGGATCCAAGAGGAATGGAGTGTTTGTTGCAGGAACATGTGGCCCTTTTCCTCACACTTGACAAGTTCTGTACTGATTAACTTTGTTGAAATAAAAAGAAAGAAACAATACACTATAAATCATTTCACATCCCTTGTAGTACAAGTTCAGATTGATGCTGAAAACATACATGATTCTTCACTGCACAAACACATGGAATGACTTTTTTAAAAAAAAAATAAAAAAGAAAGACAGAAGAATATTAACCCATACATAACCAGAAGCTGAAATTGATGATGATGATTATCATGAATCTTCACTCTTGATCTGAACTTTGTTATTAGATTTCCCAAAGAAAATCTTACTATTACTTACTATTTTTTAATCCAGGATTACTGTGCTTGGCCCGATAAGGCGCTATTATTGTGTCATTTCTCCATCCTTACAAGCGGGGGGAAAAAAAAAGAATTTGTTACTATGAATTTTCCTTTGTTTTTGCCGTGGCGAGCTTTAAGATCAACATGCCATGTGTTTTTATCTGTTCCGTTTGTGATTCTTTGTCCAATCTTTATCAACAACAGCACAAGAAAGAAATGGGTACTTCAATTTATGTATGTCCGTGTGGAATTGCATAATACTACTATTTAAAACCCTTTATAATTGAGGAACCCTCCCGAGTCCAAATAGAAAGAGCATGTGAGATAGATTAATTTCCTTCGATCAAGGTAATCCGTTAATTCATGCATGCATGCACATTGGTTAGATCTCATTCGGGTTTTCCTATGATCCGTGTCTTAATTAATTAAGGATTAGATAATCAGTGTGAAAATCCCATTAATTTGTTGCAAAATCTATTCCCTAAAAAGGGATTTATCATTTGATCAAAATACTATATGATAAACCTAACTAGCACACGAAGCATCATGATTCGATTTAGAAATGTCCTCTTTTTCTTTTTTCTCTTTCTTTCTTTGCTTTTTATTTTGGGGGTCAAACTAATCTTCATTTTTTTTAAACCACTTTACAAGTGGCTAAACTATTACATGTGTAGAGTTTATAGGAAGGAAATACTATTACTAAGAGGAAATTCCACGCTTAAATACCTAGTCCACCTGGTCAAGACGTCTCCTTCAGCTGGTGCTGCTTCCTACCCTGTAGGAAAGCTGACCAATGATAAATCGCTGTCGTGGTAATTTAAACCCGCGACCTCATGATTGGACGTCAGGGTCTCTACCATTAGGTCACCCCATTGGCAAAAAAATGTTAATGAGTTAATGAGGTATGGTTGTTTTGAGTTGGCCAATTTTCTTTTAATCTTAATAATGGAGTAATTGGGATTATATAGACAGGTGAATCACGATTAGTTGACGGCTTTATCATGACAATAATTGCAAAAGGTTGCTTAGGAAAAAGTTGAAAATACATATAGCCTTGCTTAGAAATTGAAAAATGGTATAGTTGAGATAGGAAGATGGACAACATCCACCAAAGGGAAGGAATAAAGCAAAGGGAAAGTACTACCCCATTAAGCAATCCACAATAATAATGCAAACTTTGATGGTTCCCCCAAAGAAAAAAAAATGGTCACAAAGTTGGAATTTCTTTGTCATTGTGGTTTGATGATTTTTGTGTAAAATTCCGTAATGGGATTCTTTCAAGAAATGGAGACACCACCCCCAACATTAATTTCAATCTCTTCAACTCTTCTTATGGCAAATATAATGACTTGTACACAAAGATTGTTACTCTCTCCCACAAAAATAGTTCCTATTGAGTTTTGAGTTTAATACTTTTTTTAGTATAAATTTGAAAACTCAATATGAATTATTTTTGCGGAACGGAGATAATATTAAACAATGAATATAGACTATTCATTCGTTGTTTGTTTGTTTTGTTGTCCAAAAAAAATCGAAAAAAAAAAACTAGTGATCACATTCAGAAATGCTTGTGATTTGATTCTTCACATGTTTGATTAATGATGATGGGAACATACATATTGGGATTCGACGATGATTTCAGTTTCGGGTATTTCTTTTTTATTGAAAATTCTGAAGTGATTCCACTTTCTTGTTTAAGTCCATAAATGGCCTCTTGTTGTTAGGATAGAATCGAATCAAATCAAAAGAAAAAAGAAAACCAAGTAGGAACTAGCTAGTAGGAAAGGTCCAGATTTTATAAAAATACTTAGATTTTCATGTGGACCGGAAAAAACAATTCTTATACGACTTGTGTGAACTCGAAAGCTACCAATGATCCATTCCAATATAAACTGATGTCACTTGGAAAACAACTCCATTTTCAATCCGACGACGTTACTGTGCTTGATAAATACGACCGGGAAAGAGTATAAAAGTAGCAACTCTTTTTTATTTTTTCCCCCTCAAACACAATAATCAAGTTTGAATTGAATTGAAACCTTTGGGTTTAATTATGTTAGCCCACTTTGTACGCGCAAATTTCTTGCTGAAAACATGAATTTTCAAATGCTGAAATGATGTTGTATTATTATTATTATTATTATTATTGCTTGTCACTGGGCTCTATTGACCGACTCTGCACGTATGCTGCTGACACAAGAAGAAACAATCCGCGTACCTAATTAAAGTTTTAACTTCAACGTTTCAACTTTGTGATCTCAATTTTTGGTAAAGAGTTGAATCCATTATTTTTATGTCAGCAACAGCTTCTTAGCATTCAAGACAAAAACCAAAACCCAGAAATATATGTATATCGAAACGAAAATATTCCTTCTGTCACAAAACTATTGTCCACTTTGAAATTTCACTTTTAGTACAATTTGAACTAAAAATGAAAATTAAAACTGAATAATAATTATGGGACGGAAGAAGTATGTGATTGGACCGTAACACTTTCGTGTCTTATGCACCCATCTCAAAGATCGGGATTTCGAAGGTTACAAACTCCACTTACCTCATTCTCTAAATACTAATTCGTTACAATGCCAACCTATCAATTATGCTGGTAACATGTTCGAGAAAACTCAGATTACAGATTGAAATCGCCATTTTGCATTACTATCATATTAAGCACCTTTTCATAACAAACCTAAAGGGTTAGGATTCTAAAGAAATGGCGCCATAACAAGCCTACAAAATATATATTCAAACCAAAACAAAACATTATCATCCTAAACTATCTTTCGGCTGTTCTTGTATTGCTCATAAATCCTCAATCTCCTCGAGAGAGCAAAACAGAGTATTAATTTCAGAAAGTGATTCCTGGTCGATAGTGACTTTGTTAAACCATTTGCGAGGAAAATAACTGGTGCAGGGTCTATTTTGCGGCAATAGATCATTTTCGGCATTCGGGCTGGATTTCTCAGTTGCATCACAATCCATTGGGCTCGCTCCAAGCTGGGACTTCATCAAATAGCAAGCCTTCAGTTCTTCTTGATTCCGGGCTTTGTTTAATTTGTCAATAAGGTCACTCAGGGCTGAAGCCCTTTCAGGCAGCTCAGATTTCAACTTTTTTGGTTTCTTCCCCATTTCCTCAGGCTCAGTTGAAGCACCATTGCCATCAATTTGTTCAAGTTTGCTAAGATCCTTTAGTCCTTGATCAACAATAAACTGTATCCTCTTCCTCAAGTTCTCAACTCTGACGGGATTGGATCTGAGCTTTTGCTTCAACCCTGCAACCAACATCTCGTTACAATCATCCAACGCACGATCACAATCCATGGTAGAGGATCCTTCCTCAGTCTGCCCATCTAGAGCTGAATCCACACAAAAAACCTGCTCTAGTAACCCAACATTATTCATATAGCGGTCAAAAGCTTCATTTTCTGCTTCAATATTTCTATCCCTGAACTCCTTCAATTTCAGAAATCTCCACTCGTTTATGAGTTGCGCATCCTGTAATAAAATCTTAGATAAGGATAACTTCTCCTGAATATAACTGATACCAGTAAATAACCACTGAACACACCTTTCGGGTTAAAGGCTTCCTGGTCTTCACAGGAGATGCTAAGTTGTTGAATTGTGAAAAAGTAGTAGAAAGTTGACGTAGGAAATTCCTATTCCTGTAATTCAGTTCAGAAAGAACGATTTATTAGTTTGTTACTAGGAAACAAGGCAAGCTAGGATTGATAATCTTATTCCACGATGCAAGCAACAGACACAGAAAATCTCTAATGGTACGGCCATCAAAAAGATATGGAAGAAAAGAAAATCAAAGATAATAATCTGGACGTATAGGGGACGGGAGATAAAGGCTAGGTTGTAATCTTTAGTTAATAACAGCAGAACGATGAAAGAAAAGGTTCCTCTAGATATCTCCGAAATCGAGTGCATCAACGAAGCATCATGATCTGCTCCGAACCCAAAAGTAAGCACCGGGAGAAGAAATCGGTAATTAGGCGGATTTTTTGTGTGTGAATAATTATAGGTATTGGATGTATGGGTATCACGTCCATCGGATAACAACATAACACTGGAAACCGGGTTCTTGTGTTTCCGGTCTTCCATTAGATCCAAATAGTAAGAAAAGGATAAATCATGAAACTTGAAATGTCACAAGGCAATTGGTGGTAGGAAGAACAATCAATGACAGTGCTGAGGAGTTACCCCGAGTGAGATGCATCAGTCGGTTGCTGCTCAACTTTGGCCGAATTAGAAGAAGCTGTCTTGTCCGCAACATTTGCATTACCTCTAAGAACTGCATTTGGCAGTAAATATCATTTAAATTACAGTATCCTTAGACAGTAACATTTGAATTACCTTGAAGCTTGCACTTGTAAATATCATGAGGACCTGAAGTTTCTCTTAAAGTCGATACACAAAAAGAAACTCAAAGATTGAAAAAAGCAATCATACTGCTGCTGCCTTTATAGGCACTTCAAAATCTAAGCAAAAAATGAGCATGTCTAACAAGTCACAAAAATTACTCTGCTAATATTTCCAAATAGTTAGCTCTATAAATGGTTGGAAAGAGAATCCGCAAGCAAAAGTATTCGTTCACAAGATACTTATCTTCTCATTCCTCTATTTAAATCCATCTCCATACTCATCAGGATGCTAAGTCATTTCTTTTTAACAAACAAGGACACTGTTATGGTTGTATAAAACATCCAGGCACAAGAAGTTTTGTGGGGAGTATTAAGAAGAAGACTTCCAAATCAAATGAGTATAACTCTTCCATTCCCTTTCTATCCCATTTCAGTATCAAAAAAGGGAATACAGTATGATTCACGTGGGCGTGTCTACTTACCTTTTCTATTTACAATCCTACCATTGGGGGATGAAATCGACAGGTAGAGTGGTACCACGTGGTTCAATCCATTTAAAGAGATCTTGTGATCATTATATGTCTTATAACAGTTTCAAATTTATAAACAAATCTATCTAGTTCATAATTACTACGATAAATCAATAGAAGAATCCATATTGCTCCATTAGCTCCCCTTTTCCCCAGCGAGAGATTCTACTATGGTCTTGCTAAAGCAAAACAGCTTCCTCTTATTACCATGTTGAAGCTCCATCAAGCTGCCCTATTAAGTTCAAACTAAGTGGGTGCGAAATAAATACATCCCCAGGAGATAGCTAATACTTGCTGATATGATTCTACTTCCTTAAGGGTCATAAACAAATCACTGGACGTACAATTCACTTCCTTCTTCAAAATAAATAATCTTTCACTACGAACGTCCCAAGGCATTCCTTCTTATTATTCTTTAATTCTACTATATTATTTGTTAACAAATTCCCTCATTCTGATCTCCGATCAAGCTTTCAACAAAACCTTTTGATGGACGTTAGCAGGAGTCTACCAGGTTATCGAAATACATGGAAAAAACGAGGAGACAGGTCTTGCAAGAAAAAATTGAAGACAAATACTTGGCCAAGTAACATACAGGAAAGTTATCCTCAAGTTGCATTTCAAGATTAATTCTGCATATGGAATCATTCCCAAGAAACAAACAAGATCCATAGCATGATTGTTACCAATATTTTGATTGAAACAAAATGCTCCAGGAAACAAATTAACGACCATATAAAAATTAAACATAACATACCATGAATTTCACAAGGATTTTGAGCTTTTGAGCAGCAACTCTTGCACGAGTGAAAGGGACAACTGCATACATTATTTATTCATCAGATCCAGAACATACAAAGAAAGAAAGGAATCCGCCTAGTACATATCTTAAATCAACGAGCATTATATGCCTGGAGCAAATGATTGTAGCAAAAGATATAGTAAAACTTGTGAACTGTCAAACAAACCTAAAAAGACACCCCAAAACATCAGCCTAATAAAACAGATTTTCCAGTTGAAATATACCTTCACCTCGCTACACATCTTAATTTAAGTTTTTCTAAATTGTTGCACATTCGAAACTTGTAGACCCAATAATCCGACTCAAACACACAGTTAGGGCATCAAATCTGTCATCCCCTTCCACAATAAATTGGTCAATAATTTGCCAGACTGTTAAACGTAACTAATGCGAAAATGATCAGATTTCTTATCCAGGGAGCAAAACCCCCTCCTCTTCCCAAATTGAAAAATCAGAATATACATAATATAAACAATCCCTTTAGGGATGAACTTTAGGCAAAAAAACTCCCGCTAAAAACCTAGTGGCAGGTTAAAATATACTAAGACAGATATTAAATCAAGTCCATAAATTGAGAAAATGAACGCAAGACATTGAGAAACTATAAAATTGCTTGCTTAATGAGAGAAGGGTTAAACCTACCGGGAGCGAGCGACGTTCCCACACTTGATGCACTTCGGTTTGTTAAGACCTCGTTGGCTCTTCCCCGGATTGGCGGACGGCGACGGAGAACTGAAGTTAAAAGCGGCGGCGGCGGCACCGGCGCTGTGTGGGGTATCGGTACTGTTGCTGCTTAGGGCCGGAGAGGGCGACGCGGCCGCCATTGGAGCTCAAGCCAAAAACAAATTATTAATAAAAAATAAATTATATACGGGAAAAAAGAAACGATTTTTCGTTTTAGCGGGATTTTGTATTTTGCTTGGGTCTTGCAATTGAAATTTTGAATGTTGCGAAATAAGTTTTCATGAAAAACAAAAAAAAAAAAGGAAAAAAGAAATTTATAATGCTGTATTAGGGATGGCTGGACGGGCTTATATCTGTCGACGCTGCGGCGGCTGCCCCAACGCTAATTCGAAGGCGTTATTTATATTGAGGAGCTCTAATCGCGCTTTTCAAGCGTCTAAGACTAGGAAATGCAAAACACCCCGAGATCTAGCTAATTATCTAAAATATCTTTACTGTTTAACAAAATATCAATAACACTGCTTAAAAGACATGCCAATTATTAAAATGGTCATCCGACAAATGAAAATTGATATATGCATATGAAATCATCAAAAAAAAAAAAATACAAAAAAATTTTACCCTCAACAATAATCGTGATTTTTTCTAAACTATAATGAAATCAAGTATTCAGCTCTAAATCCAAAATTTACTTTTTAGCGGCCCTCGAAAGCTGAGTTTTTGAACTTAAAGTAGATATTTGATCTTATTAGAATTTTAAAAAAATTCAAGGAGGGTTTTTATGTTGTACAAACATTTTTTGGCATTTTTTTAGCTGAGTTCATGTGCATACATGAATTTTTAGTTGTTTGAGGACTCTTTTGAAAATTGACTTACCAATTAAAGGACGTTTTTCATATTTTCTCAAACATTAAGAGTGTTTTAGATAATCAGTTAGACCTAAGGGTGTTTTTTATATTAATTCTAGTTTTAATGAATCTTTTACTCTTTTTTTTTTTGCTATATGATTTTTTTTTTCTTTGCTATATGAGTACTAGTTATTTTAATATTTTAAATTTTTTCCTTCAATATTTTTCAAGATTTTACCTATCTCATTTTATTTTTATTACATTAAATATATTTTTGTGTGCGCAATTAGTTACAAATTTAGAGTAATACAGAGTCTGAGCTTAAATTTATTAAAAAAAAATTATAAGGGTGAAAATGATGAAAAATAAAAAAATGATAATAAAATCTTAAAATAGCAATTCCCCACTAAAAGTTTTAATGAGAGACAATAGTCTCCTTCCTACCATCATTAGACACAACGAAGGAAATTACATTTTCATACTTGTCAGATTTAGTTTTAATATTTATACTAAAAATAGTACCACTCATAAAATTTCATGCGAATATTTTTTTTTCGAAAGAAAATACTATATTACGTTAATACTTTTTTCTTGAAAAATACTAATTATATCACATGATAGAAGTGTAGAAGAAGCTCAAAGTTTTATGTATTGTACATTTCTCAACATATACATGTTAATTAAAAGAAAAGGAGGTCTGGTTGAAAGGAGGCCAGGACTTATTGAGCGCACAAGGGGTACGAGATGGATTGAAGATTATAGAGATGAATGGACCATTCGACAGGAGTCACGAAAAGCAGACTATGCAACAAAGGTCAAAGATTGTGAGGGGCGTGTGCTACTGAAAGTAGGGCTTCCGTGCGAAGCATTAGAACCAACTCAGGCAGAACTTATGGCTATCTTGGGGGCTATTAAGTTAGCCCTCCGTTATGGATGGGTTGGGGGTCCAGATTTTGACGGACAGTGTGAAAATAATTAAAATGATAAATAGGACTGAAAATATACCAATATATATGGAGACTCAGTTCTTTAATAACAGTGATCGGTGACGGACTGAAAAAAATCTTATAAAGGAAATAGGATCGGGAATTCCAACTTTAGCTAAAGCTTCAAGGATACTAAATTTCTTACTTCAGGTGGATGGAGCATTCCGTAAAGATACGAATTTTGGAGCAGCCGCATAGGAGATTTTGGATGAACTGGGAGAATGTTAAAGTATGGCTCATCTAGTTTTTATTCTTCTTCACCAGAACACTTAGAGGCAATGGCATATGTTGATGTTTTGAGGGAAGCACATCAAATGGGTCTAACTAATTGCCAGCTGAAATCAGACAACAAGATTTTGGTGGAGTCGGTTTCAAGAAAATCAAAATTCCTTCATCACCTCCAAAGTATAGGTCAAGATAGTGTGCACTTGCCAGATCTTATTCCAAATAGTAATTGTATTAAGGTTAGTATATCTATGGAAGAAAATACCGATAGAATGGCAAAGGTGACACTAATGTCGGCCTGTAATTTGTAACTTTTTCTACGGATTACGCTTATTAAAGAATTTTTTTTAAAAAAGGAGGATATACTACAATTCTCCTAATTTTTTGTGATATGTGATATAGTGAAGGTAGGTAGGGATAGGGTTGAATTAGCTCATGATGTGGCACATAATGAAATATTTTCTTGATGTCTTTAATGAAGTCTTTTATTTCAAAAAAAAAAATTCAAACAGGGCATAACTTCTAATTTAGTGGTCGCCCTCCCATTTAATAGAACTCAACATTTTCCATCGTCCCCTTATTATTTCTTTTTCTTGCATGTTTTCAAGCATTTCTTCATTTTAAGCTATAACAAAGTTAGTTCAGTGGTAAAACCACCCTTGCTCCAAGAGGAGGTCATGAGTTCAATCCCCCACTCCAACAAAAAGTGAAGGGTTGGCTCTCACCTTGCCTATTGGCACCTCTAGGGGCTTGTTATGGCTAACCCACTAATGAACTCCCGATTTCGCACCCGAGTTTGTCACCTCGGGCTTGCCTAGGGTGGTTTACTTCCCACTGTGGTTAGCAGGCTATTGCAATGGACGTGGATTTACCCATCTCTGGTGGGGTTCCCGGCGTTACCGAAAAAAATTAATAACGTAGTACACGCGTTGAAACACATGCTTCATTGTCCGATTTCACTTTTCACTGTGTGTGATTGGAGGTTATTTTTTCGTCATTCTTTCCTTGAGTGTGCCGATACGATCTGATCGTATCAGCCATGGCAAGGCTTGCTAAAGGAAAGAAAGTCGTGACTAAGCCTCCTCAGAAGGATGCGGGATTGGATTTGGCATCGGTAAAGGAAGCGGAAAGTTGTTCGCAATCGAATGGAAAGGAAGTGGATCTAGGGCATCATACTCTGGTAAGCGAATCTCCTGTTAATCTTGTAGCTGATCGCTTTAATTCTATCTTGGAATATCTGTGTGGGCATAAAATAGTTGAGATGGGTAGAGAGACAGGGTTGAATCGATCTGTGTGAGGACATGATAAAATTGATACGAACTAGAAATCATTTAACCTAGATATGGTCAGGGAATTTCCTGTTGATCTGGAGTTTGTGGAACCGCCAATTAAGAATCATCAGAAAGTAGCTAAGATAATGAAGGTCGATGTTGATGAGGAGTTGAATTACTGGAGGAGATCTATAGTTTGTTATGTGTTGGGGAGTCATCCTCCTTATCATATAATGAATGGATACATTAGGCGTAATTTGGGAAGGCATGGAGTAGACAAGATTGTGTTACTGGCTAATGGAGTATTTGTTGTGAGATTCAAGAGTATGGCTGGTAAGGAGACTGTTCTGAATCAGCAATACCAACAATTTGACAATAAACCTCTGATAGTTAAGAATTGGTCAGTTGATGAAGAATTCAAGCTGAAGGGGATTCTAAAAGTTCCTATTTGGATCCAACTGCCAGGGTTACACTAGAAATACTGGAATCCTAAAACTCTAAGTAGGATAGCCAGTACAGTTGGTAAACCACTTAGGATAGATGCGGTGACAGCTAGTAAGCAAAAGGTTGGATTTGCTAGACTTTTGGTTGAAATGGATATCACTGAAACCCTGCCTGATAGCCTTTGGTTTGAGGATGACCATGAGATCCTTCATGAGCAATCCATAGTTTATGAATGGAAACCTCTGAAATGTGCCGAATGTAAGGGTTATGGGCATCTCAGTGCTAAGTACAGGAAAGTTCAGCAAGTCTGGAAGCCAAAACAGCCTTGGAAACAGTAAAGTATACTAAGCCAAACAGTATGCAGAGTAAGGATAAAGGCCAAGATACTGGAATGTTAATGAAGATTGGGCAATCTAATGCTGGTTTCCCGAAAGCTGGTGAGTATAACGGCAATCCAGTAGAAGATTACAGGTTATGGGTGGGTAAGGAGGGGCAAGTTCAACCACTTCAGGGATTTATCCCCCATGAATAACATACTTGTATGGAATTCAAGGGGGCTGAACCACCCCCTGAAACACAGAGAATTAAAGAATGATAATATGGAGGAGCTTATGAATAAATGGTGGGGAGATTTTTATTTTGGAAATAATAGCAAGAATGGGGGACGTTTGTTGATGTGGAGGAAGGGTGAGATTGATGTTGATATATTAGAAAATGATGAACAATATATTCATTGTATGGTTAAGGATCAAGTATACAAGAGGAGGTTCAAGATGACTTTGGTGTATGGTGCAAATGGGAAAAACGAAAGATGGAATGCCCTGATACGGATTGTGAAATCAATAATGTGTCAAGAAGAAAAAATAGGTGGTCTGCCAGTAACTGCAGCTGATGTGGGTGAGTTTCAGATGGTTATCGATGAATGTCAACTGTGGTAGCTTCCTACTGATGGTGGTAAGTGCACTTGGAGCAACAAACAGTTGGGGCTGAATAAGATTAGTGCCAAGCTAGATAGAGTGTCGGTTAATAGCTGCTGGATGCTGAGATATGATGAAAGTTTTGCAATAGTTTTGCCAGAGGGTATCTCTAATCAGTGTCCACTTCTCTTTCAGTGGACATATCAGAAATGCCAAAATAGGAAATATTTTCGGTTCTTCAATATGTGGACAGAGGACGAGGAGTACCAATCTAAGGTTGCAGCAGTTTGGCAGGTGCCAATTAGAGGTAGTAAACAGTTCAAGTAATACAGAAGCAGAAGAAACCGAAACATGTGTTACGGAGGCTGAATAAGGAGAAATTTTTTAATATTGATCTTCAAGCTCAGGAATGGCAGCAGAAATTGATTCAGATACAGCAAAACCTGCAGTTGAGACCAGCTGACGTAGATTTACAGAACCAAGAAAAGATCGCAGTATAGAATTACATGATGGCTAGTAGCAAAGCTTTTAGTTTCTGGCAGCAGAAGGCAAAAGAACAGTGGCTCCAGCAAGAGAACATGAATAAGGCTTACTTCCACGCTGCAATAAAGCAAAAGCATAAGAGAAATAGAATTTTATCATTTACTAAAGAAGATGGGTTGCTAGTAGATGAATGGAATGAAGTCGAAGAGCATTTTGTAAATTATTACAAACAGCTGTTAGGCAGGGAGATTCCAAGGTCGAAAGTTCAAAAGGAAATCTGTGATCAAGGCCCCACTTTGTCAATTGATCAACAATTTGAGCTGGTAGAGGACATAACTAGGGAAGAAATCAAAAAGGCATTGTTCTCGATTGGAGAAGCCAAGAGTACTAGCCCTGATGGCTTCACTAGCGGTTTTTATCGGAGGACATGGACTGTTATGGGTAATGAAGTCACTGATGCAGTGTTAGAATTTTTTCAGACTGGGCAGCTGTTGAGGGAGATAAATGCGACGGTGCTTGCGCTTGTGCCAAAGAATGATTTCCCACAAACAGCAGCGGAGTACATACCAATCGCCTATTGTAATACACTCTATAAGTGTATTACTAAGGTCTTGAGTAACAGGTTAGCAAAATTATTGCCTTATCTTGTGCAACAAAACCAAAGTGCGTTCGTTAAGGATAGGTTAATAGTCCATAATATACTATTAACGCAAGAGATGCTTAAGTTCTATAATCGGAAAAATGCTTCCCCTAGATGTATGCTAAAGGTAGATCTCCAAAAGGCCTATGACTCCATTTCTTGGTCTTTTGTTGAGGAAGTACTATATTTTTATAAATTCCCTAAAAAATTTATTCGGTGGATCCTGGAGTGCACCACGACCTGCAGCTACTCTCTCTATTTGGTGGACTGATATGTTATTTTGAGGGCCGTCAGGGTATTAGGCAAGGGGATCCATTATCCCCGTTGCTCTTTGTATTATGTATGGAGTATCTGAGCCGGATTTTCAAGAATGAAGTCTTGCAGGGTGGATTTCATTTCCATCCAAAATGTCAGAAGCAGCAGATTACAAATCTTTGTTTCACAGATGATTTAATCATCCTATGTAGAGCTGACCTAGAAACAGTGACAAGGGTGAAGCAGGTTCTAGACCAGTTTACAGCAACCTCTGGTTTGAAAGCAAATCTCCTGAAATCACAGATCTTCTATGGGGGAATAGATGATGCGACCAAAGATCAAATCCAGCAGATTATCGGTTTCAACAAAGGCGCATTTCCTATGAAGTATTTGGATGTACCGCTTTCTCCAACCAAGTGGACAAATCTGGACTGCCAAGTACTACTAGAGAAGATTGCTTCAAGCACCAAATGTTGGACAACGCGACACCTTTCGTATGTTGTCAGAGTTATTTTGGTAAATTTTGTCTTACTCCCAGTTCATGCTTATTGGGCTTTTGTTTTCTTGTTACCAAAGAGCATCCTTACTCAGATTGTTAGAATTTGTAGAGACTTTCTATGGGGTAAAAAATAAAATGGGAATCTTATGCTTTAGTAGCTTGGGATGACATTTGTAAACTGAAAAAATTTGGTAGTCTAAATATTAAAGAACCGGTTATTTGGAATAAAGCATTGTTAGGTAAACAGGTTTGGGCCTTATCATTTAAGAAAGACAATTTATGGGCAGGGGCGGAACTAGCCTTTGGAACTTGGGGGTGCTCAACTTTATAGAGAAAAGAGCGGTCAATCTAAAATTTGGAAGAGTTTTGATGAGACATTTCATGGTTTGTTTCGGTAAGAAATGTTCTGGTGACAGCATTTGAATAAATTTTGGACAGAGATTTTTAGGACAAAAAAACTAAATTGTACAATTTTTTAAAATTTAGATAGTATTAGAAAAAAAAATTGTAGATGGTATATATTTGAACTTCCGAATTTGATTATTGTTACATTGTTGTTTTTGAAACTAAACACCAATTAAAATGGAGCTATTATTTAGAGTTTAGACTTGGACCATATGTATGCTATTTTAGATAAATTCAAAACCTCTAATCTCCTTTACTAATCTAATTACCTGATCTAAATTGGACCAACCCAACATTTTTCTTCTCCTTCATCTCGACATTTAGGGAAAGTTAAGCCTCTACCAAACCAATCTTCCACCTCCACGGCAAACAAACTACTTATCACCTGCTGACCACCAGCATCACCGACACTACTTCCAAACAACAACTCCAAGCTTTGGCATGGAATAATCATCCTCTGCTGGAGGTGCTGAAGACTACATAGGGGCTGGCCGGAAATACATGTATAGAGCTTTTTTCGCCGACCGGCCTCTATGTAGTTCCGCCCATGTTTATGGGTGAAGTGGTGTCATGAATATTATCTGAAAGGTCAGATGGTATGGGAATATGAACCTTCGCAAAATGATAGCTGGGCTTGGAAGAAATTGATGAAGGTCAAGGACTTGTTGAAACCTGGGATTCATGAGGGGAAGTGGACAGCCTGTAAAAATGGAATTTACAGCACTAGTTCTGGCTATGGATGGTTTAGGGGAGGAGGATGTAAATTCCCAGTGGTTAGGGTGGTTTGGAACAAGTATAATGTTCCTAAACATAGTTTCATACTCTGGTTGGTGATGAAAGGAAGGCTGCTCACTTCTGACAGAATGCAGAAACTTCATTTTATCTTGCAGCCACTGAAATGTAGACTTGTGAAGTAGCATAAGACAGTTTAGATTATGTCTTCTTTCAGTGTTTACATGCTAATCAGGTTTTGCAGCAGAGGAATGGTGCAAATGAACGAATCCAGACCTGACAAAGTTGAAGTGGTTGTAGCTACAATTGAACAGGATGTGATGTCTAGATTACGGCTTTATTGTGAAAAATGCAGTTTAGCTATAAGTTCTTAGATAGATAACCTTGAAAGCAAGCCATAGAATGAGGCAGTATTGTAAGAGCTCAGGTTGTTAAACAGATCCAGTTGTGACAAGCTAGTAAAATTAACCTTTCACCAAAAAAAAAAAAATAAATTGCAAAACGGCTTAAAAACTAGAATATATATGGATGGCATCTTAAGTGTGTTTTATGTGAGATATTTAAATTCTTTATTTAAAGTTTATGAATGTTTATGAAATATTCACATCATAACCGAATGAATCTTGGAAGTAACCATCATCATCATAGTCTTGAGATCATTATTGACAATCTTGCTTCATCTCTATAGTCTTGGGATTGTGGTCGCCAATCCTACTTCTCCTAGAAGACCGTCATTCAGATCCCCTTCATTTACTATCATATGCTCATCACTTATAAGAATAATATGATCATAAAAAACAACGACATCAAACAAAGAGTTTGATTATAATCAAAACCCAAAACGTTTAACAATAATCACAAATTTTAAGTTTGAGAGTAAGATACTTTGTGTCAACTGAATTTACGGTTTTGAATTTAAGATACGATTGAATTGGTGATAAATAATAGAAAGAATCATGGAGAAAATCATTAAGTAAATTATGTACATGTGTGGCTAAAATTTAAAAAAGTAACTAAAAGTTACTCTTTTTTTTTACGCGTGTATTACAATTCTTAAAATAACTTTACTATCTATTGTAAACAATCACGACATGAATTGCCCTAACTACTACCCTTAGCCCCTCAAACCCTCTCATTTTGCTCTCTCTAGGAATCAATCCTTGGTGTATCAAAAAGTCCGTTTCCACTTAAACTATAAGGGTAATTATCGCTATTGCATTATGCAAAGCTAGAACCATCTCCTTTATCAAAGTCAAAACCAAGAGTAGAATACTGCCAAGCTCTTTTTGAGGCAATACAGTCTACAAAATAGATGTTGGACAGTTTCGATCCTACCACCACACCTTGTGCAAACAGTTGACAATTGCATTCCTCTTCTATTCAAACTTGATAAGGTAGACAAAGCATTGGTCATGGGTCTCTAAATGAGCGAGCCATCGAATTTTGGCTGGCAACTTAAGTGGCCAAAATTTCTTCCATCCTGCCTTTGTTAGGGACTTGCTAGAGTTTGTCAAACTCGATGCAATATTTCCTTCTTTCAAATTTAGGCTTCATAATATTCAGACTTGACTGTATAAATCCCGGTTGAAGTTCGGCCCTAAATCAGTTATTCCTGATGGGATTCAGATTTACATGAAAATAGAGGACAAAAATATTCCGAGCTACTTGCATTAGAAACATAGAATATATCAATGGATATTTCCAACAGAAAGGGTGATCAAGCAGATCTCTAACGTTTAGATTGGCAGTGATAAGGTTGATATTAGCATAATATTTATCGTTATTTATGTGTGATTTTGGATGGTATCTATGCTAATATTGGTGTTTTATGCTTAATTTGATCATAGGAGGTGTTTTGGATGAAACGGATGAAAAATGTTGATTTTGGAGACTTTCAAAGCTTTTTTCGAAGAGACTTATGCTCAAGGGCAGAAGCGGACTTGATAGAGCACGTGATCATATTGAAGAAAAAGCTGGTAATTTCGTTTTAGGGACTAAAATACAAAA